GTATATACCTGCATATTTTTTTTTAGAATTGGTATGGACGAGAACTTTTCAAAACTCACCTACAATGCATATATAGCTATGTCGTTAAGTTTTTCATATACGAAACTCTATTATTTGGCTGAGAATCAAGCTCAGTATTGATATTGCAGTCATAAATGTCTTGTTTACGCCATATTTCAGAAGCCGAATAGCACTCGAGTATACACGACATAATTGTCTCTCCTTTTTAATTAAAGTTAATGAATTAAAATGACATCGTTTTAGTAACATCAGAAAATTGAAAATATATGAATAAACATACAAGAACAAATAGAAGAAAGAAAAACCAACAAATTAAATTTCTCCTACGTAGGTTTTCAACACAGAATCTAGTGATTAGATTAAACAGGTATGTAAATTGAAAATAACTTTTTAATTACAATTTGACAGCAACGCTTATAGATGTACTATTTTTTAAAATTAATAATGACTGCTCAAAAGATAAACATGAGGTGTGTCATCTGAAAGTAAAAGTAAGAAATGAAGATGATGATAAGGAGGCTAGATAAACACTGACCTCACATTTCAAGAGGTCAATATATTCGTTTTCAGGAAAGCAGTGATGCTGATGAACTTCCTCCTTAAAACGGGAATACAGAAGAAATGCGGGTGATCATGTGGAGTCCTAGGTCTAATGATATGACCTTCTCCTTTTGTGTGCCTTGTCTCTTCAGGAAGTAAACGATCACTGCCCTCCACATCTTCCTCACTTATGTAGCTCTTAATAATTTTGTATTTTTGTTATTACTTCCAAAACCTGTTCTGCCGTCCATTTACTCAAGCCAATCAAATATGTTCCGCACACCTTTCCTCTGTCCCTCTTTCCTTCTATCCATCCTGAGAGTATCATATTTTCCAAGCCTTCCTTCCTCATTATGTGCAACAGAAATTTCAACTGTCTCTTCCTGATATTAAGTATAAGTTTCTTTTTTGTTTCCATTTTCTCCAAAACCTCGTTGTTGCTCACATGTTCGGACCATGGTATCCTAAGCATCTTTATATAGAACCACAATTTCCGTTGCTTCAGGCCTCTTCTTCTTTTGAGGAGATTTCCAGCATTCACTTCCATACAAGAAGACATATATCACGTAATAGTTATATATATATATATATATATATATATATATAAACATAACTTTTTTTCCTGCATTCACTTCCATACAGGAAGACAGATATCACATAACAGTTATATATATATATATATATATATATATATATATATATATATATATATATATATATATATATATATATATATATATATATATATATATATATATATATATATATATATATATATATATTATATATATATATATATAATAGTTGTATATATATATATATATATATATATATATATATATATATATGCAACTATTACTAACAGTTATATATATATATATATATATATATATATATATATATATATATATATGTAACTATTACAACAGTATATATATATATATATATATATATATATATATATATATATATATATATGTGTGTGTGTGTGTGTGTGTGTGTGTAAATGTTACGTGATATCTGTCTTCCTGTATGGAAGTGAATGCTGGACATCTCAAAAGAAACTGATTTAAAATATGTTTTTTTTCGCTACACAGTAATAACCATGTTTCAAAAACTGAAGCCAAAAACTTCAAATTTAATTATATAATTAAATTAAAAGCATTAGCTCCGTTTCATCTTCAAGCGAATTTTGGAATAACTAATTTTGAAATTTACTGAGTTTTAAACGCGCATATGAATTCATAATTTCCTGTTTCCAAGGATACAGAGAAATCTAATCATTCAAACAGGGGCGGTAGCGTATACATTTTTATTAACTATTGCTGTATCAATTATGAGTTACGTTCGAAAAAGAGGTTAAGTTTAGGTAGGGTAGGGGTGTATCTTTCAACGAATTCTGACATCTGTTAAACGCCCGTCGTCTGTTTTTTTTTGTTGTTTTTTTTTTTAACTGGTAAAAAGTTTTTCGGCATTTTTTTTCGTTCTTGTATACTTAAAGATTCTATGTAGTGGTGTTTGGCTTAGAATACGTTTTATTTAACTACAATTTTAAAATATTTTTACTTTTAATTACTAATAGACTATATTTCTTTTTAAAACAGTTAAAATGTAATAGAATTACTTAAATTATTTAAAATTATGTTTTTATATCAAATATAAGTATATATTAGGTTGGTGCAAAAATAATGACGTAATAATGTCGTTTTTTGACGTACTTTTCTACGTCAAAAACGACATTCTTACGTCATTATTTTTGCACCAACCTAATATATTACCATATTATCATAGCTACTGTTGGAGTTTCGGCGACTAAACCTGCTAGCCCTACTCCATGTTCTTGCGAGTGGGACAGGTTCTATTCTTCTGAAATCCCGGAAGTTAAATTTAATTTCTACTTTCAGCCTTCATGCGTTGGTGATATGTTCTCCTTGTAAGCTTGATTGTGAAATGGAGAATACATGGCACTTTCCAGGAAACAGTTACCCGGAAAATGATGGACAGTGGAGAGAAGAGTTTTAAACCCCACCCATGTTTAGCAAAAGTTTGTGTCCTGTGTATCTGAAATTGCCGTAGTTGGGAAAGGGGACCTACATTCCGGCTAATAGGCTGTCAGCCAGTGTTAAACTGTGGTTTCCTACCGTCAGGATACGCGTTGTCTTTGGCACTACCCCCCTTCTCGTGTTTTCTTCGTCTGCTAAGGACGGTCTGTCTTGTCTACAAAATAGTTTGCTCGTTTATAAACAGACATATCGGTGCGACGCTGACTACATATGGCGGACCAATCAGCGCCTAGAAAGCAGTGTTGGACAACATTTCCTGGCAACATCAGACCGGGTATTACGAAGACAGCACACTACAGGATTCCGCGAAAGGTTAACACCTCTTAGATAATCTAAAGCGTGCGTATAAATACAGTTCTACGTGGTTTTCTGTTTTGGGCAAAGGACACCTTAAGCAATATATATTAAATTGCATCGACCGTCTTTGCCTGTCTTGGGTAAGACGATAAATTACGTCCAACAACAAGATTTCTGATCAGGAGGTTTTGAGAGGCGTGAAACGACCTCTTAATTCTTGGTGTTCCCAGGTCCACCTTGACCCGGAGTGGTAACACCTATTAGGGTCCCAACTATGGGTAATTAGTTAACCCCCAAACTGTGGTCAAGACACAATGAAAGTGTAAAAATAAGTTTTAAAATCAGAGATACTTTGTAAAAAAAAATATTACCAAGAATAAATCTTTGAAGAAAACTTATTACCAGCAATACAGTATTACCAGCAATAGATTTTTGAAAAACAATATTACAAGCAATACATTTTTGAAAAAAGAAAATTACCAGTTATAAATTTTTGAAAAAAAAAAAAATTACCAGCAATAAATCTTTGAAGAAAACTTATTACCAGCAATACAGTAGATTTTTGAAAAACAATATTACCAGTAATACATTTTTGAAAAAGAAAAATTACCAGTTATAAATATTTCAAAAATAGATGTAACCAGCAATAAAAATTTTGTCGGTATTAAATAACTCACTGAGGAGTTGATCTGCCGTAAAACAAACCAAACCGAGTTTGTCTCGACAGATGGAATTTATTCGTTCTATTTCTCTACTGGTTGGGCTGTAAGACTGTATAGTTCTTTTTAAAAATTCACTGAAACTGTTTATTGTGTGATTTTGCCACCCCCTCCCATCATCCCCTTTTAATTTTAAATTGGATTTCAATCGTCGTTCCTCGTCTTCTCCAAGTATTTCTATTATTTTCTGATTTTCTGATGAGGTGTTGGCCAAAAAAAAGTTAACTTCTTAAGTGAAAAATATGCAGTTTTGTCTGCCTAAAACAATCAAATGTTCTGAGACATATCTATCTATATTATTTTCTGTTTATACGTTATTTTTAAAGACATAATTTATTTAAGTAAATGCTCTGTCTTTATTAAACAGTATTAATTACATTTACCGGTCTGAATGTTCGAGAAATTTCGTAGAAAATATGCGCTCTCCAACAGGAATCGAACCTGTAACCCTTATGACAACCGCCATATAGCCTGTCGTGCTTCAGCCACAGAGAAGATGTTTGGTGAGGAAAGTCCGAATTACATTCAGGCCTTTAAATGTAATTTATATTGTTTAATTAAAAACGAAACATTTAGTTAAATAAATTATATCTAAAAACATAATGTATAAGCCAAAAATATATTAAATAATTGTCGGACATCATTATATGTTGCCATTGTTTACGTTAAATATGCTTCGTGAGCAGAAATGATCAATCGAGAAATATCGTCGTGTTTACAAACAGTAATTCTAACTTTGCTAACCAGACGCCTCTTTAAAAACAAAGCATTTATTTAAATAAATTAAATCAGGATATAATCCAGTGCAGTCTTTATTTGGTTTACTTGTGGAAAAAGGAAAGGGCACATTATGGAATTTTGGAAGTTGGATCATCACTACATACACTTATTGACAGTAAATTGAGTGTGTTTAAGAAACATGACGTCGAAATTCTCTTGCTTTGGTAAGCAGGAAATATATTATACTCCAAGATGAAATTTCAAGGGCGTTCTCTGCAAAACAAAGTCAATAAATAAAGTCCACATCGCTCGATATTTAATAATTTTTTACGTATTTCAATCTTTTAGGATGTTTCATAAATGACAAACATTATGAAACGAAGAATAAGTTTAAAACAATCTTTGAAACTAGGTTTCTTGACGTTAGGCTTCAGCCGGTTCACTCGCCGTTACAAAAGGAACCGGTTGATTTCTTTTTCATTTGCTTAGTTCAGTGGGTGTTCGAGTCGAAGGCGGCAGTCTTTTACGTAAGGTGTTCGATTGACAAGAAACGATTAGCGGCGACTGGCTCCGAAACGTTCAAAGTTTTCTTGCGACTTCCGAGAACGAAACGGCGTTATCGCCATCGTCTTGCAATCAATTACTGTTCGCAGGCGAAAAGGAAGTCACCCCGCCGATTAACAATCCTGAGACAAAGAAGACAGTATATATCTCCTGGAACGTCCCGTTTTCCTCCGCATGGGAAAGACAAAAAGACGCCGGGAGGGTGAAATGGTTCTCTACTATCGTGTGAGAAGACATGCAATTTTCGACCTCTCCACCCGACTGGGACCCGAGACAAGGGATCTCGGTGGCACAATGTTCGTTCGAGGTGTCGATGTTCACTGAGTGTTGCAATTCGCATCAGTTCTGGCGGCTTGCCGCGTTCTTCATCGATAGACATGCTGAGTGAACCCCCATCCAGTGTTTTGCTTATTCGAAACAAAAAAAAAAAGATACGTACGAGGAGAAAGAAGGTTGAGAACCACCGTCTGGGACCCCCTTCCAGGACAGCGTGACATCCCCGACTCACACTCTTGCGTAGGCGGTTGTGGGGCGGTGACCTTTCAGCATCATTGCCCGCAATCGGTGAGAGACGCCCCGGCACCTAACACAATGAAGAGGGAAATCATAATGTCGGCAGCGGCTTCTGTGGTGTCGGCAACAGCTACTGGAGTTGCAGGGAGCGTCGTCCCTCGAAACGCGTGCGAATCTAACTGACCCCGAGCTCCGACTGGGAGAAAAAGGAAGAGGCGAACGCAGAAGACGGTGTCGATCTAGCGCAGGGGGCACACCCCCCCCAAAAAAAAAAACAAAAAAACAAAAAAAACAAAAAAGTCATGATGAATAGAAGAAGCTTCATTCCGCCAGCCAGGCGTCTCTGGCCGAAAGCGAGCTCGTAGCAGTTCGTCGTCCATGCAACGGTGGCGCGGATTTTACGATGAATCACCCATTTGTCAAGAAACATTGTGAATTTTTTAAAGATCAAAGTAAACTGAAATGTAAGCGACTGAAAGAGAGTTCCACAAGCGAGAAGTGCAAGCGAAGTAACATTTACCTTTCTTGCGTAGAAGAAACTGTTAGAATATAACTTACGTAATTTAGCAATTTCAACCGTAAAATCATGAGACCTACCTGCCAATCTAGTACTGCGTTTAAACTCCTGAAGTCGAGATACCAAAGAGAAAATCTCAATTGCCATGAAAATAATTGTATAAAGCGCACAGAAAATATACGTTACGGCGGAAGGTATGTGCCTGAAACCGAGATGCCAGTTCAGAGCCGTTAACAATGCAGATTCTTTTGATTTATCAATAATAATAATAATAATAATAATAATAATAATAATAATAAAGGGGAATAAGGCAAACAATTACGTTCGATTTCTGGAGGTTTTTTTCTGACATTTTCTTTAGAAAAATCTTTTATTGTAATTTTGTTTGCATCAGTTCAATCCCTTTGTATGTATCTTTATTTTGGCTCTCCAAAAAAAAATATATAGAATTGCGTATCGATCTTCGCAAAGAAAATGTAAAATCAAAAATGAAATAACTGAACCGATTTTTATCGATTATCTCCAGTTTCTCTTTCTCTATTTGATATCGAAAGTGTGAACTTTATAGATTAAAGTAACGTTTGGCTCACCCAGTCCACCCTGTAACCCTTGTTCGAATCTTTGGTCTCCAGGAAACTGGATCAATAAAATGGATCATTTTAATAATTGATTTTTCGTACACACTTATCGAATCAAACGTAAAAATCAAAAAAACAAACGTTGATCAAATTGTTGATCTCAGCGCCATAATGGTTTCATGTTGATTTTAGAGTTCCTTATATTTTAATCCTTCTAGGCATTCCAATTTTTCTTCTTAAATCAATCTATTCATTTTTGTGTGAGGGGAGAGTTTCAATTATTCCCACCCTGGTAAGTTCAAATCGAATGCGTTTCTTCTCTCAAACAAGACCCGGATATAAAAAAAAGAAACAAAAAACACCTCAAATGTATCAAAACTTGAATGTCTTCTTCTTTATTTGCCCTATTACCTCGGAAAGTAGGTGATTATGACTCTCTCCACAACTTTCTTTTTTTTTTGTAGCTTTTAATAACTTTTCTTTTTATTATTTCTCCTAAATCCTGTTCCCCCATCCATTTACTCAAGCTCACTAAGTATGTCATGCGTTGTTTTCCTCTGTCATTCTCGCCTTCAATCTGTCCTGTAGGTATCAGAATTTACAAGTCTTCTTTCCTCATAACGTCCCCTAGAGATTTCAGCTGTCTTTTCCTGATGTTGAGGATAAGTTTTCTTTTTGTTTTTGTTTTCTCGAAAACTTCGTCGTTGCTCACGTCTGCAGTCCATGGTATCCTCAGCCTTCTTCTGTACGACCACATTTCTGTTGCTTCAACTCTCTTCTTCATCTTTGAGGAGATTGTCCAGCATTCACTGCCATATAGGAGGACTGATATTACATAACAGTTCAGTATTCTTTTCCTTGTTTCTCTTGCTTCAAGTCTCTTCTTCATCTGTGAGGAGATTGTCCAGTATTCACTGCCATATAGGAGGACTGATATTACATAACAGTTCAGTATTCTTTTCTTTGTTTCTGCTGCTTCAAGTCTCTTCTTCATCTTTAAGGAGAATGTCCAGCATTCACTCTCATACAGGAGGCCAGATAACACGTAGCAGTTTAGTGATCTTTTCCTTGCTACTATCGAAGATTTTCTATTTCTTCATACCGTGCTTAGGTTTTGGAAGTCTTTTCGGACATCCCACTGAGCCTACAGATTTCAGTGTTGCATTTTACGTTCTCTATTAAAACACTTCCTAGATATTTAAATGTTTGTAGTTGTTTAATTTTAGTATCGCCAATTTCCAATCCATACTTTGGGTTCACACATTTGCTGACAACCATCTTCTTCCTGCTGATGTTTAGTTTGTTATAGTGTGTTTTGTTTTACGGCATATCAAAATCTCAAAGGGTTATTTAATGCCAACAAGATTTTTATTGCTGGTAATATTTTGTATTTACAAAACTGTATTGCTGGTAATATTTTGTATTTACAAAAATGTATTGTTGGTAATATTTTCTTTTCAAAGATATATTGCTGGTAATATTTTGTATTTTCAAAAATGTATTGCTGGTAATATTTTGTATTTTCAAAAATGTATTGCTGGTAATATTTTTTTTTAAAAATGTAATGCTGGTAATATTTTGTTTTTTCAAAAATGTATTGGATGGTAATAACTCTATTGCTGTTAATGAGTTTTCTTCAAAAATTCATTGCTGGTAATAAATTTTTACAAAGTATCTCTGATATTAAAACCTATTTTTAAACTTTCATTGTGTATTGACCCCAGTTTGGGGGTTAAATAATTACCCATAGTTGGGGCCCTAACAGGTGCTACCACCCCGGGTCAGGGTAGACCTGGGAACACCAACAATTAAGAGGTCGTTCCACGCCTCTCAAAACCTCCTGATCAGATGTTGGACGTAATTTATCGTTTTACCCAGGACGAGGATGTAGTTTATCGTCATACCCAAGACAGGCAAAGACGGTCGATGCTATTTAATATATACTGCTTCTAAGGTGTGCAGATGCTAGTAATTCATTGCTAGAAATAATTTTTTACAAAAATGTATTGCTGGTACTAAAACCTATTTTGCACTTTCATAGTGTTTTTCCCCAGTATAGGGGTTAACTATTTGCCCATAGCTGAGACTCTAACATGTGCTACCACCCCGGGTCAGGGCGGACTTAGAAACACCAGCAATTAAGAGGTGATTCCACGTTCCTCAAAACCTCCAGATCAGAGGCTGTGATGTTAGATGTAATTTATCGTCTTACCCAGGACGCGTTGATGTTTAGTCCTTTCTTCACGCTTTCTTTCGGTACCTTATGTATGAGATTTTGGGGTTTTCTTTCCGTGTCTTCTTTTATGATTTTTGTGAGGGATCTACCAAGTCCTCATTTTCTTGTATCGACAGAGTTCAAAAGCGTCTGCAAGTCCTTGCGTGTGACAAATTATTTTCCACCCTCTGACCTCTATGTCATAGGATGGATGTGGCTAGCCTCTCACTGCGCTATCGCTGCTCCCATAGAAAGTGCTCGGATAAACTACATTTCTTGGTTCCTCCATGTCTAACCTTTGCGACTAGGAACCGGCATGTCATTTATTGTAGCAAACCACTCATATTCTCTCCTTATTACATCCGTGAGAAGTTCCATTCGAACAGCTTCTTCCTGCGAACCACTGCCTTGTGGAACTGACTCCAAGGAGGATATTTCTTCGATTACTATCATCTTACCTGTTCAAGTCTAGCGTTAAATATTATCGTCTTCTTCTATCCGTATAAATTGACCATTACTGTAATAGTCTACCTCGAGTGGTCCCCGGGCCTTATACAGGGTGAAACTTACTGTGAAAAAAAAATGTTTTTGGAGACAAAAGTAAAGCTGTTATTTTAATAAAACCTCTATCCCATAATATTTTGTTTACAGAATACGTAGACGAACTCACACTGGCGAAGTAGTATCCAAAAGACACCAGGGGCAGTGACTTCTTACAGTAATGAATTGCATTTGTTAAAGTTTCGATATAAGAACAAAGAGATGTCTGCAAAAATGTGAAAGGTCAGTACGCCTCCTGCACCCATATTACTTAGCAAGGCTAGTCAGTATGTGACAAAAGTTCTAGCCAAGCAGACATATGTCCTTTTGATCGCTTCCCTCTCACTTCGTCATAGAAACAATGCTACCACTACTGTCCACCATTTTTTTTTAAGCGTTTCACCCGAAGCAAGGCGGAAAGCCACTAGGACGCAAGGGGTTACAGAAAATTTGGAGCAAGATCAGATAGGAGTGATAGAAGAAAGGGTGAGGAGAAGAGTAGTGGATAGATCAAGGCAACTGGAGATACAGAGGCCAGGGAGAGAGAGAGAGAGAGAGAGAGAGAGAGAAACCGGAACCCCCTTCCTAAACAAGAAACAAGGTGTAAGCCTCTACTCATGTCAACAAAGCCAGGTCAAATAGGTATTTATGCTGATGATACAAGAATTTATTTCTGCCTTAGTAGCAAGCCCTACAGGCCCGACAAAGTAAACTTGGCAACTCCTCTCAAAAAGGACCTCCAATCAGTGGTTAACTGGGGTAAGAAATGGCTGGCAAATTTCAACCTCTCTAAACCTAAACTGCTTTCATTTAATTACCACAGAGAACTTTTCCAGCCTTCCATCAGTGAGGTGGATGTTAAATTCAAGGAATAGCAACATTTTAAAGAGGTCACGTGCTCACATTTTCCACTGACAGGAAATAGAGCGACTATATCGTGTCAATTCCTACGTCCGCTGCAAAGAAAATTCTTTCACTGTAACGTGCCAAAAGATTTATCTCGTCAGAATCCATCTTGCACATTTATAAATATACCATTCGTCTCTACATTGAATAGTACTACATTACTATATTTGGTCAGGTATATATTGAGATTCTTGACAAAACCCAAAGAATGGTCTGTAATATAATCAAACCTGTTCTAGGATCTCGACTTTATTTGCTTTCTCAATGACGTGACGTGGCTCCCGTCTGTCTTTTCTATAAAAATTGTCACGGTAACTGTTCTGATTAGCTTTTTCCCTAGGGCCTCGACTACATGAATTTAAGCTTGATACTAGGTTGGCAGTTAGGTCTCACTGTTTTACTGTTGAACAAACTTGATGTAACTTCCACTTCCATTCTAACATATTCTTTTCTCGCATTTCCGATTTCTTGCTTCCCTATCAA